CACGGCACAGCCCATCACGGTACAGCCCATCACGGCACAGCCCATCACGGTACGGCCCCGCTCGGGGCGGTGCCCGGAGCCGCGCGGCGGGGCCGGGACGGAGCTGGAGAAGGGAGCGGGACGGGGCAGAGGCCGAGAGAGGTGCGGGGTCCGGGGGAGCCGAGCGGAGCGGGGACAGCCGGGGAGGGGGGATACTGGTGGGGAGGGGGGCCAGAGCTGGGATCTGGGGGAACTGAGGTCTGGGTTAGTGGTTGTGGTGGGGTCTAAGTTACTGGTGGAGTCCGGAGAAACAGGGCTTCGTGGTTACTGCTGGGGCTTGGGGGAACTGGGGTCAGGGTTTCCTTGTCGGGTTTGGAGGGACTGAGATCTAGGTTCCTAATGGGGTGTGGGATTACTGGTTCCGGTCAGGTATGGGCTCAAAGGTGGGGTTACTGGGGTGTGGGGTCAGTGCAAGGGTGGGGGAATGGGGCATAGGGTGGGTGGCCCAGCCGGGCTGCTGGGTGGGCTGCAGCGGGACAGGGTGGGGTGGACGTGCCTGGGGTGGGGGTCCCTGGGTGTGGTGAGGGTGGGTCAGCTGCACTTCAGTTGATGCAGGTTGTCATCCCTTGAGGGTGGCCTTGGGCTGTGGGTCCCAAGTTGCCTGGACTCCCAGGCAGTGTCTGACCTGGGATGGGAGCCTGGGGGCTGCTGCCCCATCCCACATCCATCCCCACAGCCCCCGCTCCAGCAGTGTCCCCGTGTACAGCCTTGCTCATGGAGTGGCCGCTCTGTGTTTTCTTCAGAAAAAGGAAAAAAGTTCCCTTTCTTTACTGCTGAGCTCATTCTTAAACATTTATATTAGGGGGGTTTGCGGGGAGGGGAAATAATTGTGTAATGTCTTAGGAGCAGGGGAGCATTCCAAAAGCATGACTGCGTGGCCTTTTCCAGCACTAGCAGTCTGGCAGCCAAGTCTCTCAGTGGCCGCCAACCTCCCTAAACCCAGCCCCAGCCTCCCAACACCCCCGGGAGAACGGGACTGTGATCCCTGGCTTGCATCTGCGTGGAGTGGGCTGGGAGCAGGGGCTTGGCTGAGCCCCCTCAAGCTAATATCCCTGGGAAAGTGTTCCAGTCGGGAAGCTGGACACTAGAGGCAGTGGTTTGGCTGGCTGTGTATCATGGGGACCAGTCGCATTTTGTTTCTATTTTTCCAAGTGCTTTTGGTGTCCAAACAGTTTCAGTTTATGTCCAGCTCCTCCTCCTCAGCTCAGGTAGACGCTGCATAAGATTTTATGGACTTCTGCTTGCATCCAGGCTCCTGACAGCTACAGCTTCTCCAGGGAAATATGTAAGTGAAAATAAGCCAAGTCACTATCTTCCTACAGGTTATCAGGAGCGTTTAAGCAGGCTCACCTCCCGACTTGCTGTTTGCACTGGAGAGACGCACTGACATGAAAAGTAAGGAATTGTATTAGCAAATATTGATCGGCGCTGGGGCAGGCAGGCGTTGCACAAGTACAGGCCTCTGCTGACATTGTGCCATGTTGTTTGGAGCTTTCAACAAGACATTTGCGCTACCGTGAGGCAGGAAGGCTGTCACTACTGCAGGAGGTAAAATAAGAACATGGCATGATGTCCTTTGGAAAAGGAGGTAAGGGCAGGCAGCTTTTCCCACAATGCTCAAACACTTGTGGTTTGACCTTTGTTTAGGCTTTCAAATTCTTCTATTCCAATTCCCTTTCTCTGTTTTGCTTGTGGATGTTTTTTGGGGGATTTAGCAATGAAAACGAGCCACCCTGGACACTTTGCTCCAGGTCTAGGTCTGGGAAGTTGCCCTTTTCCACTGGAGTGTGTGTTAAGCCCAGCCTGCCTGGTTGTGCACAAATATCTCCAAAAACATGGGAAAGGTCTAAACTTGTGCACTGGGTTGAGCTCCTACTTTGACAATCACTTGTCATTTGGATATAGCAGGTCTGGAGGTCTGAGGAAGGTTTCAGGCAGCTCTCAATGGTAAACACAGACATTTTCCTTGGTCTTTGCTTCTGGCAGCAGAGGGATGGCAGGTGAGCCGGGAGCAGTGGGCAGTGGTGGTGCGGGTGGGCGTGGGTCAGCCCTGGGTGTTGGCGAGGGCTGCTGGCCAGGGCTGAGGGCTGCTCTGTGCTGCACAAACTGCACAGCTCGGCCAGCCTGGGGGCTGGATGAGCATGAAATTACAGATGCTGCTTTGCCAAAGCCAGCGCCACTTGGATGGTTTTGCTGCAATCCCAAGCTCTGCCCTGCCCTTTGTATTTCCCCTCAGCACAGCTGTTTGCTTCCAGCCCTTTTTGGAAATGTTTTCTGCCATTCAGCCTTAACGATTCCATGATTCTGTAATAAGAGTCCCTCCGGTGCTTGCAACAGTGGCTGAGACACTTGTCCTGTACTACCTTGGCCATGGCTTAGGTATGTCAGCAAATGAAATTCCCCTCAGTGGACATTCCTGGGGGGTTTAATTTGGAAGTTTCCTTACTTTGTCATTGTACCAGTGAGTCCAAACTGCTAAAACTGTTTCTGGAGTGGAACTGCCCCACAGCACTGGGGGTATCCCTGTGGGCAGTGTCCCTGCCAAGGGGCTGCTCCCAGCACAGCTCTTTGCCCCCCCAGCCCTGCCCAGACTCAGAGCTGCGCCTCTGGCCAGGGCTGTGATCCCTGGTGTGACTGGTCTGACTGGGGTGGGGCCGTCAGCAGTGCTTGGGAATTTCTGCTTTGGAACAAAACCCCTCTGTTACCTCTAGGAAGTTGAGTCTGGCCAAGGAGGTTCATTGAAAGATTCCTGCCCCTGGTTGGAGTCCTTCAAAGCACTGACATATTTGTCTGCTATTCCTGAGTCCCCATAGCAGACACTGGATGATGGACACATCCTGCTGCTGGAGGAATTCCCCATGTCCTGCTCAGCAGGAACTTCACATTTTGAGGCACAAGGCTGGGAGAGACCAGCAACACAAGGGCTGCCCTGGAGCCTGGCTGATTTTATGGTGATTTTATGGTGATAGCTTTAGAATAGTTGCTTGGAAAGTAGAACAGAGCAATTGGGGGTCATGTTGCAGCTTTGTGGTGAGCTGAAGGAATGGCTGCTCAGGATTTGGCAGGTGCTGGCAGTGGTGGCACAGATTAAACCCACAGCCAGCCCTGTGTGGGCCCAGCCTGCCTGCAGCAGCAGGTGCAGGGATGGGCACGGGAGCCCTGTGGGGGTTGGCAGTGGGAAGTGCTGGCACACAGTTGCTGTTCCCTTTTGTTATCTCCATGGATGAGCAGGAGGCATCTCCAGCAGGGCCCTGTGAGTGCTGCTCACACCCCAGAGCTGCCAGTTTGGATTGCCAGTGTGGGCTGGGCAGTGTTGGCTGTAATTTTGGGTGGTTGGCACTTGGCAGAGTTTAAATCTCAATTTACATGTCTGTTGTGAATGGCTGTGTGCTTTTAATCATTTGGCCTGATGGCAGTTGTAGAAAAGCTGTCTTCAGATTATCATAGAATCCCAAAGTGGTTTGGGTTGGAAGGGACCTTAAAGCTCATCTTGTTCCACCCCCTGCCCTGGTCAGGGACACCTTCTGCTCTCCCAGGTTGCTCCAAGCTCTGTCCAACCTGGCCTTGGACACTTCCAAAGATGGGGCAGCCACAGCTTCTCTGGGCAGCTTTTGCCAGGGCCTCACCATCCTCTCAGGGAAATATTTCTTCTGGAAGGGGCTCTGAGGTCTCCCCAGAGCCTTCTCTTCTCCAGGTTGAACACCCCCAGGTCTCCCAGGCTGGCTCCAGAGCGGAGGGACTCCAGCTCCATGGTCTTGCTGCAGCAGCTCTGTGTTTTCCCTGTGCTGGAGCCCCAGGGCTGGAGGCAGCTCTGCAGGTGGGGTCTCACCTGAGTGGGGCAGGGAATCCTCCCCTCATCTGCTGCCCACGCTGGGGGCTCAGCCCTGCACACCCGGGCATTTCTGGGCTGCCAGTGAACACTACTGCGTCATATTGAGCTTTTTATCACCAGCACCCCCACGTCCTTCCTCTCAGGACTGCTCTCTCTTAATTCTTCAGCATTTGTACTTGGGATTGCCCTGTTTGTCTCCGTGAAATTGTCTTCACGTTTTCCACTTATTATCTGCTCAGAATCTGGCGACAGTGCAAAGACCTTTGCCTCAGAATCCTCATCCCAGGGACTGGCCTCATCCTGCTGAGCAACAGAGCATCCACTGGCAAAGCAGCTCATCTCTCCTAGAACAGAGAGCTGCTGGCATCGGTGCTGTGCCAGCTGCTGGGTCCAGGGCATGGATGGGGGCACCCAGCTGACCCCTGAGGCTCACACCTCTTCCAGCCTCCTTGCCCTGCTCGCCTTTGCACACCAGCTCTGGATTAGTAATGGGCTATTTCTGGATGGCTCTCCTGAGTAATGGAATGAGTTGTGCTGAGAGTTTGGGTGGGGACAGTGCCTCTGCCCTCTGAGTCACCGCTCAGCATCACGCTGGACTTGGGAGCTGCTGGGGCCCGGAGCCAGCCCAGGTCAGGGAGGACATTGGAGGCCGTGGGAAGGAGCTCGGGGTGCTCTGTGCTTGGTCTGGGGCATCTGCTGTCCCCCTGGCAGGGTGGTGTGTAGGCAGGAGCAATGTCTGCAGGCTGGGTGTGAGCAGATCCTGGTGTCCATCTGGGGGTGGGTGTTTGTGTCCTTGGGTATCTGCTGCTCCTTACAATGCAGATGTTCTCATCTATGTGGTGCTGTGGGTTAGATATTGGCACGGCCCAAACTGCCTTTCTTCTTGGAGATACGGAATCACAAGGTGTATCATGTTTTGCTGTGGGCAATGAAGCTTTGTGTCCAAGTAAACAGACTTTTTTCTCCCTAAGCCCTCCTTTTTCTGTGCTGTGGACGTGCTGCTGGAGCGGGGACGAGCCTTTGGTCAGACAAGAAGGATGGTTTGCAACAAGGGTTGGACTTGTGCATCTTGGAGGTCTTTTCCAGCCTTAACGATTCTGTGGCACTGTGGGTTTGCCTGGCCCAGCTGGGACAGGCAGGAGCAGCAGGACATGAGGAAGAGGGACAGCAGCTTTTTCCCACTCCATGCTCAGCACTTGCCTCACTAAAAAGTGCCCCTGATCCCTAAAAGGGACCCTTTGGAGTACTTTTTTTTTTTTTTTCTCTGATTTCAGTGTTGCACAAATGTGCTCACCTTCGTGTAGACATGCTGCTCCACTGGGATGCGTGCCTGACACCAAGGATCTCAGCTGAGGAGCTTCACATCCTCCCGGATGCAGCCCTTGATTGTCACTCTTCTCACCTTACAAGTGTCAGCTTTCTATTTTTATTAACAGCTCCAGAGCACTCAGCAGCCATGAACCATTCCTGCCTCAGCTTGTGAACCAAAATGCTTGGACCCTACAAAGATCCATGACTAAGCAGGGTCTGGTCTGGGGATGGGTGAAAACTCCCTCTCTTTTGCCCAAACCATTGTGCAGTTTGATTTGTGAAACGTCTGCGGGGTTTGTGTGACAGGGGTGCCGTGCCAGGCACGTCGATGAGACAAGTAGGTCTGCAGCCTGCCTTTGGAATGTGAATCAGCCATTCAGGCTCATTTCTTAATCCTTCCCTTGCAGCTAATTATGAGGCAGCCAGACTCCTGTTTTACCCTTTTCCTCCCTTTTCTGTTGGCACAGGACTCACCCTGTGCTGGGATCACTGGGGCAGGGACAGATTCCTGGCTTTTGTTAAGGCTCAGTATAAGTGCCCTGGCAAAAGGCCAGACTTGTGATATTCTGGCCTTCCCAAGGTGATCCCAGTAATCCTGGAGTGATTCCAGCATGATCCACTCCCACTGCTCACAGCTCAGTGTGTCAAGATTGATGTGTGTGTTCTCCCCACAAGGTTATTTCCTGTGACCCTTCCCCAGGCTCCCAGCGTGAGTGGCTCCTTCCCATCCTGCTGCCTGGGCACTGGCTTTGGAGAGGGATGGGGCTGAGAGGGAAAGCATGGAACATCCCTGCCTTCACAGAGGTTTCTTGGTCACCTGTAATTTCCCCTAGAGCAGTGTGAATTTTCAGGGATCAAAGCCTGATATGTCAGCCTGCATCATTCCCAGGATCTCTGCAGGGACAGGGAGCTGGTGATGTGCTGAAGGCACGTAAGGAGTGGGTCAGGCTCTTTGGACTGGGACTCTGGGGATGGGAAAGAGATTTTGGTCACAAGGTTGGGGAGGAATGTGATCCCACTCTGGCTGATTTTCTCATGCCTCATTCAGATGCTGTGCCAGGCATTTTGTAGCATTGTCCTGGCCAGTTCCCAGGCTCAGCTATAAACCCCTTTTGAAAGTGAGGGATGCAAAGGCATAGTTTTCCTTGCAGAACTGCATCCTTTTCCCCTGGGGCAGAAAGCCTCCCTGCTTTAGTTGTGGGCTTTCAGCTCTGTTTGCCGAGTGATGACTGGCAGCTTCTCCCGCTGCCACTGCCAGCGTTGGCTCTCTTGGTTCTGTGGCAAAGGCTCCTTTTTCAGACAGGCTGGGATGGGGCCAACCAGGTGCCAGGTGCCAGTCACAGAGGTCCTGCTTGCCCAGACCCCCAAGAGCTTGGCTTGACGTGTTCCAGCTGCTGATCAGATTATCTGGGGTCTGGAGAGCGTGCTGCGGTGAAACCCGGAGCACAGTTTGCCCTGAAGAATTTATAATTTAAAATAAACCCAGCATGTGCATGTGTTTATTTTAAATAAACTGAGGTTGTCTAAAGTCCTGGTTACCTGGGTGATAGCACAGCAAAGCCAGGGAGAGTTGGATATCTGGGGAAGGCACTCCCATGAGGTCCCTGCGTGTGACCACCAGCACTACCCACATCTGGGACAGTTCTCCCAGCCACAGTAGCAGTGCTGGGTGTAAAAGGTTCCAGTCGGGCCAGTTCTTGTGGTGCCCATGAACTGGTGTTTGTGGTAGCTGGAGGGTGTCTGGCAAAGGGCTGGGGGAGCCTTTGTCCTGTCTATCACTGGCTACTCACAGCAGGATGTGCCCCAGGTGCTCGTGTCTGCTATCCCCCAGGCTGCTGTGCACGGGAATTTGGGGGCCCAGGAGCTGTCCTGCTCACCTGCTCGTGTCCCCACAGCGATGGCAGCCATCAGGAAGAAGCTGGTGATCGTGGGAGACGGTGCCTGCGGAAAGACGTGTCTGCTGATCGTGTTCAGCAAGGACCAGTTCCCCGAGGTGTACGTGCCCACCGTGTTTGAGAACTACATTGCTGACATCGAGGTGGATGGGAAGCAGGTAAGGGCCACTGCCATTCCCAGCCCCTTGCTGTGTGTCTGTGCTGGCAGTGCCACTGCCCAGTGCTGGTCTAGGATTGCTCTGTGTGCTCGGAGGCCCCTGCAGCCCCACGGCTCCCGCTTTTCCAGGTCACACTGAATCTGCCCCGCTTTGAGGAAGAGCACAACTATACCTGAGGAAGATAAATCTGTCACTCCTGGCCTGCAGAGCCACTGAGCCATGTCCTTCTCCCTTCTCAGGTTGAGCTGGCCCTGTGGGACACAGCAGGACAGGAGGACTATGACAGGCTGCGGCCCCTCTCATACCCAGACACAGACGTGATCCTCATGTGCTTTTCCATCGACAGCCCGGACAGCCTCGGTAGGGACCGGGGGTTGAGGGGGGACCTGGGGCTCCCACAGGGCTTGGTGCTGCTACTGAACCCCCTGGGGTCTGGGAAGCCCCTGTGCTGCCCCCTGAGGATGCCAGAGCCTTCCCTTCATCCCCTGACTTCGTGTGCGCTTGAGGAAATGCTGGGAACTTGCTGACTGGGCAGAGGTGGTGGGAGAGGAGGATGCTGTGAGGGAGCTCCAACAGGAAAAGCTTGGGGCTGGTTTCTGTGAGGAGGCTGTGGGGTAGCAGCCCTTCAGCTCATACGATTCCACGTGTGCTTGTTGTAGAGAACATCCCTGAGAAGTGGACGCCAGAGGTGAAGCACTTCTGCCCCAATGTGCCCATCATCCTGGTGGGGAACAAGAAGGACCTGCGGAACGACGAGCACACGCGGCGGGAGCTGGCCAAGATGAAGCAGGTGAGGACAGTCCTGGGTCCCCCAGCCAGCAAGGCACCTCTGCCCACACCAGATCCCGTCGGGAGGGGCTGGATGCCCCAAGGGCAGTTGCTGTTGTCGGCAATGTTTCCAAACGCTGTTTTTACTGCTTCCTAGGAGCCGGTGAAGCCGGAGGAGGGGAGGGACATGGCCAACAGGATCAATGCCTTTGGCTACCTTGAGTGCTCGGCCAAGACGAAGGAAGGGGTGCGGGAGGTGTTCGAGATGGCCACCCGTGCTGGCCTGCAGGTCCGGAAGAACAAGAAGCGCAGAGGCTGCCCGCTGCTGTGAGCGGCCCCAGCTGGCACCGGCACCGGGCTGCCCTGCCCGGGGAGGGGGTGCTGGCAGACAGCCCACGCAGCACCTCGTGGTGCCACTACGTGCCCTGAACCCTTTGCACCAGAGCTGCCACCCACGCCCGCAGGGTGTCCCTGTGACATTCCGGGGCCAGGAGGGGCCAGTGCCTTCAGAACCTGCTGTTCTCCATGGGCTGGGCGTTTGTCGCTCCCCGTGTTGCCCTGGTTTGTGCTGAGCTCCCTGGTTTTGCCTTTCCCACGGGCATTGCTGTGGTGTTGCTCTCCTTCCCCAGCTCGGGGCGGGTGCCACAGCAGCAGGAGGTGCCAGCCACAGCTCCCGTGTGGGCTGTGCCAGGCCCTTGGTGTGCTTTGCCTGCTCTCCTTGGCTGTGCAGGCAGCACACAGCAGCGTTACAGACTCGCCTGGGCAGCTTTAGCCCTGGCTGTGAGCAGTGCTGGGCTCAGCTGCTGCCAGGAGCTCTGCTCCCGGGACGTGTGCCCAGCTCTGCCGGTATCGCCTTCGAGTCTGCCTCGGTCGTGGACTTGGCAGCAGTAAACAGAGCTGCATAACTGGGAGAATAAATGCAAACCAGTATTTTAGTAATGGTAACTTTGCTTGTGTGGTGTTCTTCTGGCTCTCCTTTGTGCCCCTCGCTGCTCCAGGCTCCTTGTGCTGCAGGGTGAGGATTTGCCTGCCCCCAGCCCCTCTTGCTTCAGCTGCTGGTGGAGGATCAGGGCTCAGTACCCTGAGCTTGCCAAAGAGCCAGGAAGCAGTTTACATGGGAAGGGCCAGGCAGGAGCTTCCCAGCTGTACCCAGTCCCTGCTGATGGGCATTGCCAGCACTGCTGGAGCCATCCTGCATCTGGAGCAGGGCAGGGCTGCAGTGAGCCTGATGCTGCTCTGAAGCCCTGTCTGTGTAAGCAAGGCTCACCTAGGACTCAACAATACTCTGTTTTTCTCTAAACATTTATTCCAGGGAAATAGAGTGCCTGCACAGCCTAAGGCCAGGCCCAGTGGAGAGCTGAGCCAGCCTGTCCCAGGCCAGGTCCCTGCCTTCCCCAGTCACCCATCACAGCAGCTGTGTACCCAGTGATGCTCTTTGGAGGCCAGAGTCTCCAGGCTTAAGCCTTTCACTGAATGGTGAGACTAGTCACAGAGAATTTTTCTGCCACAAACATGATTAAAATGGAGACTTGTCCCAGTCTGATGCTGGTGTGGGCTTCGTGGCTGGCAGCAAAGCTTGGCAACACCTTCTGGTCCGGAGGGTTCAGTCCCATCTCCTCAGGGGTGCGTGGAGCACCCTGAGACTGAGACAGAAAGAGCAGGAGCTGCTGCAGGCCAGGGACAGGCTGAGGGGGATGGAGCTTCAGGGGGCTTCTCCTCCCTTCACTGGTGCGTTTTCTGCAGAGAAACCTCATGGCAGAGCTGGCCCCTGACTTCAAGATGGAGACATGCAAGCCCTAAGCAAAAACCTCTTGTAAGCCCTGTTGCATTTGGGGCAGGAGAAGCCTCCCAGTGCCCCAGCTGGAACTCTGGCCATGCTGCTGCCCCAGGATGCTGTTGGGGCCCCACTGGCAGCGCCCAGCTCTGCTCACCTGGTGACTAAGCACTGAGCTGCAGCATGTGGAGGTTGTCGGTGATTCTATCCTCAGCTGTGCTCTCAGGCTCGTAGGGGTATCCTGTGTAGCCTCCTTCTTCCTTGCAGTACCTGAGGAACCTGCAGGTGCAGAGGCAGGGCAGCGTGGGCTCGCGGCTCCGTGCTGCGGGCATGGCCAGGCACCAGCAGCAAGGAAGGGCAGGAGCTGGTGAGCACTGTCTGTGCCAGGGGCCAGGAGCAGCTCACCTGTGCCAGTGGGGGTCCTTGCTGAGCACGATCGGATTACCCACCACGATCAGCAGAGCCTTGGCCCTGGTGATGGCCACATTAAGCCTCTGAAGAGGACAAGCAAGAGGGCTTTACCTGGCTGCAACACCTCTCATCGTCTCGCAGCCCCATCTGGGTGCAGGCAGCTCTGAGCACGCTCTACCTGCCTATGAGAACCAGAGGGGAGAAGGGGATGCCAAGGAAGAAGGGTCTGCCTGGGGCAAGGCAGTACCTTGGGGTTCTTGAGGAAGCCCAGCCTGAAGGTCTGGTCGAACTGGAGGTACGTGCTGCAGCTGCGCACGGTGGAGATGAGGATCACGTGCCGCTCCTGGCCCTGGAACTCTTCCACAGAGCCCACCTGGGACAGGGACAGCAGGTGAGGGGCCAGGAGCACCCCTGGGCTGGGGCTGGCAGGGCATGCTCCTCTCTCCTCCATGCCCAGGACATACCTTCAATTGCCTGATGTCCGGCAGCTTCTGCAGATCGGGATCCAGGGATGTGATGGCTTTCCGGATCTTCTCTACCTGAGTGGAGGCATGTGACAAAATCCAGCCCCCACAGGACCGTCCTCGTGCCAGCCCTGGGGCTGCCCACCCATCCCAGTGTTCCCTGTCCCTTGGGGAGGCCTCTGCCTATGTCCTGCCCGCAGAGCTGTGTCCCTCACCTGCTTCCTGTAGGGAGAAATGATGCCGATTTCCTTGGGGGACACGGAGGGGCAGCTTCCCTTGCCCTGGCTCTGCAGCAGCTTCTTGAGGTAGTGGACCAGGACTTCAATTTCAGCCGTGTTGAAGAATGAGGGGCTTTTGGCCTCTCTCTGGTCTTCCCCGCAAACCCCATGGAAGATGATGGGGAAGCCCTGGGGACGGAGAACATTTGGCTCTGCTCTGCCTGTGCCTCAGGGATCCCCCTGGGTCAGTCCCTTCTGCGCCCCTCACTTTTTTGGGAAGCTCCTCCCAGGTACAATACAGATTCTGGACGTCAAGCCTGTCGCTCTCGCACACCTTCAGCTCGTTCTCATAGAAGAGCTCATTTGGGATCCTGAGAATGGCCTCGTGGGACCTGGCAGAGGCAGGACAGTGCCCAGGGTGGGTCCAGAACCCCCTCAGGCACTGTGCACCCAGGACAGCAGGTGCACTCCCACCTCCCACACCAGCTGGGGCATGAAGAGGCTCTGGGGGACGGATCCTGGAGATGCCAATCCCTGCCTGGCTCAATCCCTCCCTGCACCATCCCTGTCCCCACCTGTAGTTCCAGAGCAGCTTAGTGATGAACTGTGGATTGTATCCTCCACTCGACTTCTTGTACAGGGGATTGTGCAGCATCAGCCTCTCCAGCAGTGAGGTGCCTGTGCCCAGTGATATCCTGTGGCTCCCCACAAGGCCACTGAGCCCCTGTGGGGTACCTGCAGCACTCCCAGCCCCCTCCCTACTCACCCAAACCATGCTGGATAGCCAGTGGTGAGGTCAGGACAGGGCCCAGCTGCTTGGGGTCTCCTGCCAGCACCAGCTGCCCCCCATTGGGGTTGGTCTCCTGATCCATGGGAGCCAGGAGTCCTGGGAACAGGGAGAGCTCAGTGGGGGATGGAAGGACCCCAGGCCATGCCAGAGATGCTGGTCCTCGGGACAGCACTCACCCGCAATGGCAACCAGGCTCTCCGGCTCTACCGCATGGCCACACTCATCAATGAAGACGTGGGAGAAAAACCCAGGGGGGAAGTTGGCTGACACCAGCCTGGAGGAGAGATGGAATGAGGGTGTCTCAGCATCCTGTCCCACCTGGCCATCCTTTTTTTCCTACCCTTCATCCTCATTCTCCCACAGAGGAGGGATTTCACCCCCTGTTGCCTGCCCTCGTCCAAGCCCTCCCTGCTGAATCCCAGAGGGACTGTCTTCACAGCCTGGCTGCAAGGCAGCCCTGGGTCCACCTGCCACAGATGCTGGGGACAATCCCAGCTCCTCTGACCTTCCTGCTGTCACCAGTGTGGTGATGATAATCCGGTACTGCCTCAGGCTCTCCTTGCTTGGGTACACGTAGCTGCTCTGCTCATCATCCCAGTTGCAGCAGGGCTGGAGCACAGGCATTGGATGAGGTCCCGCTGTCCCGGGGGATGCCAGCCCAGGTGTGCTGTCAGGATTTCAGGGTGCAGGGGCAGGGACCTACCATGATATCGGTGGGTACTTCCCTGGGGCTCCTGGAGCTGGCGATGAGCCTGTAGACATTCTCAGGGGCAATGTCCTTGATGAGGCACTGGCACAGCAGGTCTGTGGCACTGTTGGAGGGGGCACAGGCCAAGATACGGGCGTCCTTGAAGCAAGTCCACACCTGGGTGGGAGGAGGAGGCGACAGCATTGAGCCCCATCCACAAGAGTGGGAAGCAGTGCTCAGGGTTGGATTTGGGCACCTACCACTCACCTGCTTGATGGCCTCTACCATAGTGACCGTCTTGCCAGTGCCAGGGGGGCCAAAGATGAGGTACGGGGCTGGCCGGGACATCCCTGTCACAATGTGGGTCACGGCTTTGCACTGCTCCTCGTTGGTCTCCAGCTTGCGGTTAAACCACCTGTGGGAGCAGAGCTGCTGGAGCGCCATCACCTCCGTCCCTCAGACCCTCCCACCCTGCACAGCTGGGGACTCACCGGGGCTGGAAGGGGCCTGGGAAGAGGGACTTGTGGCAGGAGGCAGAGGGGAAGAGGAGGCTGAACAAGCCACGGCGCACGGCCAGGACTGCAGCCCGATGCTGGACCTGCAGTGGCAGCCGGTTGAAGGTGAAGGTCACATCGAACTTCAGGTTGTTCACAAACTTCTTCTGCAGCCTGGGAAGGAATGGTGTGAGCAGAGCACGAGGCACTCTTCCATGTCCTTCTGGCCCTTTCCAACCCGCTCCTGGCCTTTGGCATCTCTGAGAAAGGCTGCTGGGACCAGACATCACTCACTTGGAGGAGAAGCCCAGCCTGACCTTCTCCAGTTCCACGCTGTGCACGTAGCCCTTGTACTGGACGAGTGGGGAGTGGTCCCGCTCGCTGCTCAGGTGGGCAAAGAGGTGGTCCCCTCTCAGCAGGGATGGGCGGTTCTCAGCCACGCCAGGCACCTGTGCCAAAGGGCCAGTGTGATGCCAGGCACTCTGGGAGTGCCAGTGTTGTGCCAGCACCCCTCATCCCTCACCCCCTACGCACATTGAGAACCAGCAGAGCCCTCTCCTGCACCATGGTCACATCCTGCATGTCGTAGCGCCGGATATCCACCTCCATCTGGATCTCCTCCAGGTGCAGCAGCAGCTGGAATTTCTGTTGGTAGTTCTCAGCCTGCAGAGGTGCTTCCAGCAGCAAGCTGTGGAAGGGCAGCAGCTGTGTCAGTGTCCCAGGGATAGCTTGGCACTCAAGGAACACCTCAGCATTGCTCTCAGCCCTCGGCACTCACCGCATGGCAGCCCAGCTGGAGCTGGCACTGGTGTTGGGTCCAAGCAGAATCGTGTCCTTGAGGCTCTTTGGGTACTGGTAGGTACCCAGAGGGATTTCCCTCTCCAGTTTGTTTTTCAGGGAGCTGGGTAGAGGGGACAGCAGTGCTGCAGGGACTACAAAATTGTCCCCAACCCAACTGTCACCAGCCACTGCACAGGGCTGAAGAACTGTCCTGTGGTGCCAGACAGTCAAGGAGCTGAACCTTGTCCCAGCTGGAGAACAGGCTGGGTCCTTCTGCTCAGGATGGCAGCGGGTGACTTCACCACATACCTGTCGGGGGGGATGCCATCCTCAGTGATGACTGTGACAAAGCGCTGGAGGCTGGCCTCGTAAGGCTGGAAAGGTGCCGAGGGTCCCAGCTCCTTGGCTAGCTGGCTCTCAGCGATGGCAGCAATGTAGCGTGAGATGCTGAAGGGCTGGTCTGGCTCCTTGGTGAACTCGAAGAACACCACAGCGTTGAAGTGCCCATTGCAGGTGGTGAGGCACCGCACCTGGATGGGGTATGTGGCACCTGCGGGGTGAAGAGGTGAGATGGGGTCCTGCATCCTCTCTGCCAGGCAGGGCAAGGGGCAGGGCGTGGGATGGGACCCTACCTGGGTGTAACAGCAGGGACTGGCCCTGCACTGCCCCTTGCTCGTCGGTGAAGGAGAGCTCCTGGGACTGCTGGCGTGACTGGAAGCGCTGCAGTGTCACCACCTCCGTCCCACAGTTGTGCACCAGGACAGTGACTGTCCGGGGCTCACCCGGCACCACTGGGAAGCGAATATTCCCATTGCCCTGGTCACAGTCTGAGGTGATCTCTACCCCGTGCTTCCCACGAATGAGCTCAGCCCTGCGGGGAGGGAGGGTCAGGCTTTCCCAGGCGGGGTGAGGGAGCCAGGGGCTGTGCTAAGGGGTGCTGCCGATCCTACCACTGCTTGCCGTAGATCGGCGGCATTTGTGGAGTGGAGCTGAGCTGCTGTCCTGAGGCAGACTTGGACATGGATGTCTGCGCATTCATTCTGGGTCTCCGGTACTGGTCTGCCACCACCACACACCTCTTCACCTGCAAGGAGCAGCCGGAATCATCGTGGCCCCGGGATCCTGCAGGGGGCTCCTGAGGAGCCAGTCCTAGTGGCCACTGCCCCAGCATGAACTCACCTTGAATTTCACCACCTCCCCTCGCACCTCAACCTGATGGGCTGTCTTCAGTGCGTACAAGATGCAGGAAAACCCGGGTGTCTTTGCATCAGTCCTGTGGAGACAAGGGAGAGGTTTGTGTGGGAGACTGGCTCAGCTGCCACAGGCACGGGCAGCTGAGGTGAGGCACGTAGGAAGATGAAGCAGGACACTGAAGCTGCAGTGAGGGAGTTCTCAGCAGGCTCCTTCTGCTCCAGGAGAGGAAGAAGGACTTGGGCTTCCCACTGGCCTGTGCAAATCTTACATCCCTGCTGGCTGCTCCAGCAATTCCATGCTGTGCCGTTGCTCCAGCTATGCCATAGCTGTTCCAGCTGTCTCACTGCATCACTGCCTGGCCCTGACAGCCGGTCCCCTCATGAGCTGAGCTGGCACAGGCACTGTGCTCCCAGAAGCGCTGACTCCCCATGTTCCTCCTCCCAGTCCCACCAGTGCACCGAGCCCTGGCTTTCCCAATGATTAACAGTGGTGATATTGCACAAGGGCCAGAGCGACTGGTGTCAGCAGGGTGAGGTGGGGGAGGGACTATGGTGGGCAGTGGGTGTCCAAGGCCATCCCCTGGCAGCTGCTGGGGGCCCATGGAGCTGGGGATCATCCCAGCAGGGCTTTGGTGAGACAGACGAGCTTGGGGACCCCAGCGATGCTGCTGGCCCGGCACTGGGGATGCTGCCCGGGTCTGGCTGAGGGCTCTTACCTGCCCCGGAACTCCTGGGTGTAGATGGTCCGCAGCGTTTCCCGCAGGCTCACCTGCTCCCGGCCCGTGTCCTGCAGGAACTGCACAAACTGATGTCCCCAAAGCCTGGCCTCTGCCATGCTGAACCGCGGCATGCTTGAGCCCAGCTGAGCCGAGATGGTGCCGTGTCGAGGAGTGCCAGATTAATCCGGGCTGGGCTGGGCTGGGCTGGGCTGGGCTGGGCTGGTGGCACAGGGAGAAACGAAAGCGAAAGGGGCTGAGCAGTGCAGGCCTGCCTACCCGGATCGAGGAGCTGGCAGCCGGACAGCAGAGCCTGCTGTAGAGAAGGCTGGTGGGGGAGAAGGGCCAGGAGGCAGGAAGGGAACGAGTCCGCCTAAAGGATGATTAGCTAAAGATTTGGAGAAGGACAAAGAGATAGAAATGCTCTTAAGGCTGGAACCCTGGCGGTGAACTGCTTCCAGCGTAGCCAAGGAGCTCGAGAAGGCTAGCCTTGAGGCAGATAAAAGCTGTGCTGTGTGCAGTCTTATCTTGGGCCCTACTTCAGCTTCACATTCCTGGAATTGCTGCAGCGATTTCCTGGATGGGTCCAGGGCCGCAGCCCACAGCACCTGAGGCCCACACAACCTTTCATCTCCCTGGGTGCTGCCGCAGGAACAACCCTCTTAACAAACTGTCCTTGAGTAGCTCCTCGCACAGCACTGTGCAAACCTCCAAAAAGCCCTGCTTTGTCTTGTGTAGGACACAACCAGGAGTGTCTGAGGTAAGTGTTACAGCAAGACCCTGAGGATGAGTGGAATTACCTCCTTGCTGCCTTTTTTCCAGGGTGAGGAGTTGTTTTAAAGCTCTGTGATTGTTTTTATTTTAATTTGGAAGCTCAGCTCTTCAGTTCCCATGTCTGTATACCAGGGTGGGAGCATCACCCATGGGTTTGGACTGATACCATCCCTGCCTTTCTTGCGGAACTGCTAAGGTTAGAAAAGAGCTTTGAGATCATTGAAGTCCAGCCACGAACCCAGCACCACTAAACCATATCCTCAAGGGCCACATTCACGTTTTTGAACAGTTTCAGGGACGGTGACTCCACCACTTCAAGCCTTCAGGAATTAACAGGAGTGAGACCAGGAAAGACCAGACACAAATGGCTTTAAACAAACACTGGTGTATTTGCACTAGACTAGTTGATACAGATGCCTGAGGGATGAACTGTCAGTCTCAGCAGCAAATACAAATACATTTTATTTAGATAAAACTCACAAAGCATAAACACTTATTTTGTGGTGTTGCTGTGCAAAACCTGAAGTGTAATGCGCAGGCAACCCCACCCCTCTCTTCCCAAGCCTTTTTTTCTTTGTGTATTTAAAAACAAGAACACACGAGTCAGTTTAAAAACCAGAACCTGCAAGGCGCCCAGTGATAACCAAGTGCAAACAAAGCAGAGAGTTCCCCAAAGGAGGTTCACTTTCTAGTGAATCCACGTTCCAAGATCTGAGAAAGGCATATGAGTATCTCTTCATCCTGCCCTTCAGAGAAACTGACTGCTATTTTGATATTAGATTTTGATATTAGATATTTGCTATTTTGATATTAGAGGGGCAAAACAGTAAAGCAGAACAAGCATGTAGAAGAGATTCATCCAAAATCCCCTCTAAGCATGACAAGAAACTGTTGCCCTGAAAATTAAGCCTTCTTAAAAGCTCTTGTTTTCATAGTTTTAATTACTTTCCCATGAAAATCCTGTAAACATAAGTTGTTTATCACATTCCTTCTAAGAAACGTCTTTTGATAGATGTTTCGCATGACCAGTGTGCTTGGGAAGGTGATAACTTAATTATCCAATCCCTGGTCATTGTTGAGAATCTATAAATGCTGGAGTCAGAGAATAAAGTCATGGGTTTTTGTTCTGACACTGAGAGTGGTCATGTGAATCATTTTGTGTCCTTTAGCGACAACTGTCCACAACTGAGACAAATGGAAAGGATTTTTTCTTTCACTTTGGTGCAAGTTTATTTATTTTGTACACTATTCATCCATACACCTGTGATACAAATCTATGAGCCTGCCACAAAGCATTAAAGCACAACATACCTACTATTCTGTAGACATTTGCATTTTTAATCACCATCCAGCCCTTGTGGATCAGCAGTGACTCATCTTGTAGTTCTGTAAAAATGCAGATGTCTGGTAACCGTACGTACACGAGGGAGGGGAGAACAAAGATGTTCACTTTTAGGGAACATGGCTCAAACCTTCAGATTAAAAAAAAAAGTTACATCCCTGGAAGAGCTAGGTCAGTAGGGAATTCTGTAAAGGATCCTGTAAACTCATTTTCTACATTTCTCATTTCCTTAGATTCTAAAATCTAACCCTGCAGGCATCTGCTTTGTGGAGGTTGGGAATAAGGATACACAAGGACTCACTGTCTTACACTTACTGTGTCTTGCAGCGCCGTGAGCTCTTGGCAGGTTTGACAAACTTACTGGATACCTGGAGTGCTGGATACAGGTGAAGGGAACGCTCTGCACCTTCTCCTGGGGTAATAATAGGGCTTTTCCAGCTAGGAAGTTTTCCAGCCACTGACTGAAAACAGCTGTACTTCTGAGCCATGAATGGCTGAATTTAAATGACCTATTAAATGCAGCTACAACAGGAAGTTTATGTGGCAGGAAACACAAAACACAAAGACAACTATTTGTTCCATGGTTCCCTCTCAGGCTAGAAAACCTGTTAACTTTGAAAGCCCTAAAAAAATGCTGCTCTGGTTTAGAAACCATCTACTTGGCATAGGACCACGTTTGTTTTTTTGCACACAAATGTTTCATACACCTCCTTGTTTCTGCATTAAGCATTCTGCATTTCTTTGCCAATCTTGTAGCTGAGGATTTTGTTCCAGTCAATCTTGGTGCGGGTGACGGGGAGCTGCCGGCGTAAGGCTTTGAAAGTGGTGTCTGACATAGTCTGGTAGTTTTCACTGATTGCTGTCTGCAAGGGCAAGCAGGTTTGGTTAGGGCACTCATAAAACACTGTGAGAAAGCTCAACTCTGTGTTAAAGCCACAAACTCCTTTCTATAAGGTGTAAGGCACACTATTACCTAAATTAATAATGCAGTCATCGGTGTGCGTGCAAGTCAAAGGCTTTCTATTCACCTCCCCTGTATTGCAGCAGCATCCCCTTACATCTTTCACTGACTTATCTCTTTCCAATCTCCTTGCACACAGGCTGGCACAATGTAAAAGCTGTTGCACAAATTCCCTCCTCAGTATTTTTAACTGTCACAGAGGAAAATACATCTACTCTAGGTATCATTTGTAACCCTTACAAAAAAACATACAGCAAGACTGACAGTTACTTACAACACAGCTTTGTAACTTTACAGCTTTATAACTATATTGTTTAAACAAATACTACTGCCCTTTTCTTAGTAATTCTTACAGTCAATACCAGATTCAGCCAGGTACACAAACAGAGGTCAGTTTTCCATGTTTTCATTAACTGCAAATGAAGACTGATATGATTCTGTGGTTTATTTAACTACCGCTGATCTTACCTGGTACTCGTTTTCTGCATTTTCTATGATCTTAATAAACTCCTTAGCAGTTTGGACATCACTCTGCAAAGGAGAAAAAAAAACAACAAAAAGTTTGTATGTTTAAGAGCAACTTACATAAGCTACACAGTAGACTTCTCCTCAAATGATAGGCTGAGTACAGATAAAGTGGGAAACATCATCAGCTTGTGCCTCATGGTTGTAGCTCGGCTCCTTTCACTTACTACATACTGGGTAGGGCTTGTGCTCCAAACTGGAACAGGGCTGCACCCTAGTGAGCAAAAAGGAAGTGGACCTTCATGGTAAAATGAGTCACTTTGCAGATGTTCCTCCCTGTACCCTACTAGAGGGTTTCTTAATTTCCCTTTGTGTATGTCTCTTACTGTTCCTTTCCCTTGCATAGAGATAGAAAAGCATATTCTGTTCTCTTTAACCCCAACTTCCAAGAGAAGCTTTCTGGTAGAGACTTTCCAATAAGATTGAATTTTATGCAACTGTGAATCTGGACTCTGAACACCACATTGACTGTTCACCCTAAAATTACTTAAAAGTCAAGAGAATGCAGTCATAGCAGTGCATGCTTCATGAGCTGTTTAAGGAATAAAACCACTGCTTATCTTAAAGATCTTTTAGCATACTTACTGACACCTGTACAGAGTCCTGAATGTCTTTGTGGCTAACCAGCTGGACGTTGCCATCTTCATAGTAATGGACCTGGACAAAAAGACAGAATACAGGTTTTATCACGACCACTCACTCCAGAATTCCTGAGCCCAAAAATGTTACTAAAATGGCACAACAGAGCTTCATGCCAGTCTTCTCTGCTTACATGGAGACTAAAAATAGGCTGCATTTTCTAAAAGGTTTCATTGTCAAGACTGTTCAAGATTATGTTAATCAGTAAACACCTAGAGCTAAGAGCAATTATAGAAGACTCAAGGTAGAGGTTTTATCCCTACAAAGTGAAGCAAAGAGGAGGCCTACAGGGTAATGCTACATAATAAACCACAGGCCAGATGTGATTCCTGAAATACTAGGATAATCAATAGAATCAATAATGAATTTCTTGAATTCTTTAGTTTAATAACATCCTGACTTGAGAAGGACATCTCTGCTGCATTTCAGCATCTCATTCTGAGCCAAATGCGTTTGTGTAAGAGATGCACAATGCAGCTTCTCCTGTTACTGCCAGGAAAAAGAACTCACCTGGATTTTGAGCACTGCAGCCACTTGAGCTGTTGGTGGTGTGATGGTAAACTTCCATTCTGATCTCCAACGCCCATTCCTAAAAGCAATCAAAGCATGAAAAACTATTTCCAAAAAGCTCTAACAGCAAAAAGATCCAAATTAATGAGCAAGTTGTTTCTGATGTTGTCTTATCACCAATACCATATAGGATTTAGTGCTTTAGATGGCATGGAGTTAAATTTCTGCAGCCCAGCTGAATATAATGCAGCTTCAGTACAAAGAAGCTCCAGAGATGGAAAGGAGAATCTACCCAGCTCTGCTACTGCCTTTTCCTTTGGATAGGTCACAGGAAGAGTTTTGCTAAGTGCCAAGGGGGCTGCAAGGAAAACAGACTACGAAACAAAAAGAACTTCTTGGGAAGCCCAAAACTCCCTGTCCTTCAGACAGTGTCAGAGCTAGGTGATGGTTTGGTTTGAGGAACCAGGCAAAGGAAGAAAACACACTAAGTTGAAATAGTCTTACCAGAAGTTTTTGGGCTGAAACTGGTGGCTCTCAATACAGGCAATAATTGTCTGCTGTCCATCTATAGATTTACCATAAACCTGTATTTAGAAAAAGAGTTAAAAAGGCCCAAGAGCTAAGGAAAGCCATTCTTAATCTCTGTTCCTGGCAGCAGGGTGCAGGCTGCTGTGGTGGGAACATGCACCAGGAGTTACATTGTCCATCACCTCCCTGGAAGCCATTTTATTACTGGTAGGTGGGAAGGTGCTTGGCAGTCATGCCTGTGAAAAAGGTTTAATTCATCTTTACCTCTGTGTCATACCAAGATAGTTGCACCCTCTTTGGAACATGTCATTCCAAAGTTAGCCAAAATGCTAGTGAGGATGGAGAATTCCAACAGCTCTGCCCAGCAGAGTCCACTCTAGGACTGAGTGACTCAGAGCAATACACTTTCAGGGTAACAAGATGGATACTCAACAGTGCAGAAGCCATTGGGGTAATGATCTTTGACGTAGGCTCTCAGTGCACTGTCACAGGCATCTCTCCACTGTTTTAAAGCCGATTCTGTGTCCTCAGGCTGGGGATCACTTGCTTCTTTCCTTAGGTGATCAAACTTAAAAGAAAGCTTGTTTCTTGGGTCTAAAAATCTGCCATTGCCCAGATCACCATGTTCGGTGATCAAGACCTGTAAAAGAAATTGAAATGATGATACATTTAGGCTACTATAGATGTGTTGTTTTGCAATTTCCCTACTTGCATATCAGGTTACAATAGGTTCCTTCATTGAACTATAAGATCACATAAAGAAAATCAAGTATTTTCAGTAATAATTTAAATTAGTAGTTGTTGTGTGGCTGAAGGTAAGTCTGCTCTCCACAGTCTGCACTTAGACTTCTGTCCCAGAAAAAGCTGAACTATAATAATCTATTTATATTTGGCTTAAAATTAGGTATCCTTACAATAGAAGCAGGTTGCTTTGCCTTCAAAATTATTTTAGCTGTTTTCCTTCTTCCTTTCTAAAGGAAACAGAGACTTCTGCTCTGGAATCTACCATTTATTGCCATGTTCCATGTTGCAATAGCACTACTGCTGTGCAAGAAAGGTACATAGATGTGACTACTTCTAAAATACACCAACTAAAGCAGACAGCAAAGCAGCATTGAACATTCCCTTCCTTTTTCTTTTTCACTTTAATTCTCTGTCTTCCCAAATATTGACTTTATTGGGGTGTGTTTTTTCTTTTGCAGGTTGTACTGTAACTTTCTTATCAAATCTATTTCTGTGAACAGTCCTCTTAATATATGCCTCCCATAAACATATCTGGGACACCAGAAAAGCTGGGTCAGAGCTTGGCTCAGAGAACAGAACAGATGGTTGTGCAGTTTTCTGGCTTCTCTATGACTTGCTGTTTGCTCTTAAAAAGAAATTTTAAAAAACCCTGAAATAACTTGTTTTGCTGGCATAGACTGGTTACCATTAGGTATAATCACTACACCAAATCAGTGATTTGGTACAAACAAAGATACAGTTTGTTTTTTAGGGTAGCTGGGGATGGATTAAAATTGTGGAAAATAAACCAAACAAACTACGAAGAATCTACTATCAATTGTCAGTAGGAACTGTAAGCAAGTAGCAACATGAGGATGTGTAAGTGAGCTTTAAATAGACAGTAATCTTTAATCATTCACACACTTAAGTAAAATTCCAGTGACTTCAGCATGGAGCTTTAAGGAACTGTGAACTGGATTTACTAAGTAGTACGACACAGAACTTAGAGAGTATTTTGTTTAAGCTTTGTTCTTACAGAAGAAAGTTTGTCAATGTAATGATGTGTGGGGGAAGGAGAAGGGGTGGTACCTTGTGAGCAGAATGAGTGAGTCAGCTGATGGTGATGTTGACTCGTGAGCCAACATCCTGACAAAACAGCATTTTTATTGCTTTTTCCCAGTGCAGTAATACAAACATCAAGTGTACAAAGTTTGTTCTCACCTGATCATCGTACCCTTCTATCTTCACCGGAGTGAACTGATCCATGTTGTACTGTGCAAACGCGCTGTTGAGGATCAAAAGAACATGAACTTCAGCTATACATGCACATTTATTTTGACTCAAGTTCACTGTGTGATCATATTACAGCAAGCATCAACTTAATTGGGCAAATAATACACACAAGCACTGTTAAAGGATTTTCCAGTACCTTTTACTGTAGATAGCTATAAACCCCAGGTCTAAAAGCAGGTTTGTTCAGTGATGACCAGGAAAATACAGAGTTCAAAAGTAGAGCAGCAGGTAGCCTGGGGAAATGTGAGCAAGCCAAGGCAAAAGAGCAACACCCCAGCTACAATTTAGACAGCAGCAAGGTAAACAAATGAATAGAAGAATATTCACAACAATTTTCTTATGTAAAGACTTGCTGAGTGACACGTCACCTAGATTGAAATAGATCTTAGCATCAAAAAGCTTGTATGTGTAATCTTTAAGTACCTTCTGATGAAGCTGGAAGTAAACAACAAATTTTGAAAACTTTTTCTTGAGGGCAGTTATTTTTCTAAATTTAGGCTATGGATTAATCAGTATTTCAGGCTTACTTTATTAATCAGACGGTTCAACATGATCACAAATTTCTGCTGCTGCAGAGTTAAACTGTTTGGCAGAGTGCCTTCCTGTCAGTTTTATACAGCACAAATTCCATTTTAGGGCTTTTAAAAAGAATTATCCACACCTTTCATTATATATTTTGTTAGGTGGGGTAAGAAATTATAGAAGATTGCTCTGAATACAGCAAATGGTTTTCTTTGTCACAGAATGATGGGTATAAAGAAAACAAAAGTATCTCTGAAGGTAATTTGACTTGTGTTTGAAATCTTAGTACTTACTGTGCTGCTCCTTCCCTGAGAAGATTGTCATTGTTAAGCAATAACCGGACATCTGGAGAAGAAAGGGTTCAGGTGTGTTACTGGATTTTTTGATCAAATGTTTCTCTTTGTGCACTATATTTTCAACTGCAAACATTAAAATGATTAAATCATTTCATTAAGCAGAAGTAGTCCAGAAGAACTGCATGCTTTCCCTAGCCACTTAATTTTAAAAGGAATATGGTGTGACACAGCTGTAGATTTTTATAATAGATAAAACATGAAAAAAACATCACAGATAATTTTTTCCCTAATTGCTTACCATTGAATACTTCATTGAACTCTCCAGGGGGTGCATGAGTGATGAATTTTGCAGCTATACGCACCTACCACGAAGAAGAAAAGTAATTAAAGACAAAAGATAATTTACTGAGTTCATACATATTGAAGCAATTCACCAATAAAACCAGTTCTGAAGTGACAGTAAGTGGCAGATTTAGGGAGAGATCTAGGCATGCATTGTCAAGATAGAAATAGTCTCGTAAGACTGCTCAAAGCAAGGCTGGACAGGGCTTGGAGCACCCTGGGACAGTGGAAGGTGTCCTTGCCCATGGCATGGGGTGGAACTGGATGATCTTCAAGGTCCCTTCCAACCCAAACCATTCTGGGATTCTATGAAGGTACGTGGATGATGAAGGCATCAATAATTGAAAAGGCCAACTTTCAATATCTAGAAACTCTGAATCTGGGGGAAAAAAAAACCTCATCTCTTCTAAAAATGTAATAAAACTGCAATGTGTTCTGAAATCTAATATACATGTCTTGCACTGTTAGAATATAGGTGGTCCAGGTATTGATTCTATTGGAATTAGTAAGAGTTTATGGTTTTCATTATCAATTTTTTAATGGATTTTACAGGTCCAAAGGGAATAGAAAGATCTTGGAAGAAATGAAAGAGGAAATGTCACAAAATTAGACCTCTCCCTTAGAATAATAAAAATGTCCCATTTCCTCTGATAAGCCCAGCTGACAAACTGACCAATGAGCCTCTCTGGTCTAACATGACATTTATTGACTGCAGAGTTGCTCATTACAACACTGATTATTTTCTACTTTTCATTTTGAGCAGCAAAACAAAGAATTGTGTGTATATATATATATATGTATATATATCCAACTGCTTCACCTGAGTTATCATCAGAGCTGGAAATAACTCACTTTCCTCAACAGTCTTCCCTGTTCTAATTAGAAACTGTTTGTATAGTTTGTCACATAATTATTTAAAGCAAGCCACGAAAGGAAATAAACACTTTTCCAAACTAAACGCAATTGCCTTATTCCAAAAGGATCAAGTAATAAGTCTGCCTTGACTGGATTGAGCTTCAGATAAAAAATAGACTGTGTTCCAAATCAGCAATTCTTTCAAAAAATAGATATACATTCTTTGTGCCTGAAGTAATTAAGCGATACGAAGAAAACATTAAAAAGATATAGTGCAGGACAGCAATTCTAAAAATGGAGTTCTTAGATTGTTTGAAAAATGTCACTATTTAAAGAGCTGTAATTAGGACAGATTGCTGCCACAATATTGCCAAATTTCACTGTCAGAAATTTGTGCAGTGATGAAGAGAGCCTGGCAGTAGTTTAGAGAGACCCTGCTGCTCTACATCCTCAGTGGACTTTGCTCAGAGTCTGCCCCAAAAGGCTGAAAGATTTCTGACAGGACACCACATGCTTTTCTGAGCAAGTACAACTGTAAGCACAGTACAGAGTATCACTGTGCTAAACCTCTCTCAAGTGTCTACCACTAATGCCAGGATGCCTCACAGTGGGAGGACAGCACTGGAACACATCCTGCAAATTAACTCCCCAGATGAACAGATTCTCTTTTATAAGGTGCTTCAACATATGGCAAAAAAAGGCCTCTAAAAAGCTATAAAATTTAATATCTTATAAATTAATGCAATGATGTTGTGGCTGCAGAACATGAAACCCTTACAAAAGGGGTCACTGTTTTAGTAGGCTGAACTTTAGATCAATGGATTCTCATAAGGAAATCCTTATGGGAAAAAGAAACAAACAGAAAAAAAACCCTAAGTGTTATGTGTGAGAGATTTTTACAGTCTTCCACAAATTCTCTCACTTGGAAGGATGAACAAAATTAAATCAACATGGAAGGGCCTCTGCACTTCAATCAAATGTTATTATAAACACAGTTCTGAACAAAGCAAAGGCTGCAAGTGGGAAGTGTTCACTTGGATAATTATACCTTGCTCACAGACCCATAAAATACAAAGCATTACAGTCAAACTATTGAAATCAGGAGTGCAGGAAACAGGGAGTGTTTAATTTGAAATGTCAAACACTTGAATGGTTATTGGTTTTTCAGAGTTGTCAGGATGCTCCTCTGCAGAAACATTAAAATAGGACTTTCTGCAACCTGCCCCATTTCCTGGCCCACGGGGCCATTTCAGATGCCATTTCAGCTCTGAAACTTCAACTTCCTGCTTCTAAAATGGGGAAAGTGTCTGAGGGGAAGAGAAGCTGTGCAGCCATTAGTTTAAACTGGCAAAACAGCAGCAGAATGAACTTGAGCAAAACCGGGAGATTTCAGAGGAACTTAATCACAGAATCCCAGACTGGGTGGGTTGGAAGGGACCTCAAAGCCCATCCAGTCCCACCCCCTGCCATGGACAGGGACACCTTCCACTGTCCCAGGCTGCTCCAAGCCCTCTCCAGCCTGGCCTTGGACATTTCCAGGGATCCAGGGGCAGCCCCAGCTTCTCTGGGCACCTGTGCCAGAGCCTGCCCACCCTCACAAGGAAGAACTCCTTCCCAAAATCCCATCTAATCCTGCCCTCTGGCAGTGGGAAGCCATTCCCCTTTGTCCTGTCACTCCAGGCCCTTGTCCCAAGTCCCTCCCCAGATCTCATGGAGCCCCTTTAGGTACTGGAAGGGGCTCTGAGCTGTCCCTGGAGCCTTCTCTTCTCCAAGTGAACACCTCCAGCTCTCCCAGCCTGTCTGAGAAATGAATCTCTTACCTAAAATACATCCACAGAAAATAAAAGAGTGAGCTTGGAGGATGGAATGAATTAATTTTGTTGCCCAATTGATGTTTTTGGATCTTTTGCTTTAAAGTACTCATAAACTCAGACTTAAAAAATTAACATATATAAAGTTCTAGACTCATCTGAAAAGTCACGAAATGGATACTACAGCAAATCTTTGCTGTATGTTTCTCTTTCAGATCCTCCCTTAAGGTTATCCTTCTCTGCCTGTGTGAGGCTTGAAGTTGGTTGAAACTGAATGTTCTAAAGGCCATATCAATTCTGCTCTGGAATACTTATTCCAAAAAAACTAAAAGTCACCTAAAATACTGACTGATGGATGAACTGCACCTCTAAAGCTCTGCTTGCTTCACAAATGATGTCACTGAAATGAAGCTGAAATTGCAGTTTAAGGGAAAAATGAAAGCAACTTGTATGATCCTTGAAGATCCATGATCCTGAACAACTCCAGAACCTTAAGAAACAAAGCAAACACTAAGTGTAACACTTCTATGATGTAAGGAAGAGTAACAGTGTATTTTTAAACTACTGTGTGTAAACAACTATGTACAACAGTGTACTACCTGGCAGAGAACTTGCTGCCTGTAGCTTTCCACATTCTGTCAGAAGAGGAACAAAGTGCTCATTACCCTTTCCTAAAATAATTATGGCTCTATCTGCTCCTACTTAGTCCTTTCCATCCAGTATGATTTGTAGAATCTACATCAAACTTCCTGTCAGCAGCATTTCTGTGAGCAGAAAATGCGATGACATGCAGAGGGTGTTTAGGAAGTGAAGAGTTTGCAAAGCACCTTATAGACATGCTGTTTACTTTCCTGATTTGGGAAAAGCAGCACAGAAAATACATTTTCACAAAATCATTTTGGTTGGGAAAGACCTTCAAGATCACCAAGTGATCAAGCTGTGACTGACCCCCACCCTGTCAACAAGACCAGAGCACTGGGTGCCACCGGATCCAGTTCTTCCTTGACCCTGACCAGGGATGGGAATTCCAGCATCAGCCACCCTCCCAATGTCTAATCGGCCTCTCTGTTAAGAAACCCCTCCTGATCTCCAAGCTAAACTTCCCCTGGTTTAGGTTGAGACTATGTCCATTTTCAAGCACAACGACTGGCCGAGACACTTCAGCTGCACCGAGGCAGTGAGGAAATAGGAAGGCAGTGAGGAAATAGGAAGGCAGTGAGGAAATAGGAAGGCAGTGAGGAAATAGGAAGGCAGTGAGGAAATAGGAAGGCAAAGTGCTGCGCTGGTAAGGAACGGCCGGTCCTTCAGTCGGACGGCGGCGGCCCGGTGATCTCGGGGACCCGCCCGCCCCGAGGCACCCGCAGGCCGGCACACCGGCACCAGGGAGTTTGCCCGCCAGTCCCCACCCACGCCTTCCGGGGAGCAGCGGCGCAGGCCCACAGCGGAGGGGCGACCACCCCCTTCCTTTACCTTCTCCTCATCCGACACTCGCTCCTCCAGGTCCGCCATCTTGGCAGCTGTGTGCCCGGCCCCGCGCAGTGCATGCCGGGAGCGCCGGGCGGCGGGCGGACTGCGCTGCTGGCGCCATCTTAGCTGCGGGCAGACGCCGAGCGGCCGCCATCATAGAAACGGGTGGGTTCTCGCGGTACCGGCTGACAAAGCCGCCGCCTCCCAGAGCCGTCGGGGCTCCCGGTCATCGTGTGGGATATGCTCGGGCGGAGCAGCGGTGATGGACTCGACGAACTGGCTGCCTACGCTGGAGGAGCCTCGCCGTGGTCGTCCCGGCCCTGTCCCGGCGTACCCCCGTGGGCTGAGACGGTCGGGATCTGTAGACCGGAAACGCGGCTGCCGCCATCTTAGCTGCGGGTAGACGCTGTGCTGCCACCATCATAGCAACGGGCAGGTTGTTCGCTAGCGGGAACACGGCGGTGGCCGACCTGCCGCGTCCCAGAGCCTCCGGGAGTGCTGGCTGCGGTGTGGGGAACGATCGGTCCGCGCTTCACGCTGGAGTAGTGATGATGGGGTCGGTGAACAGGCTGCCCGTGCTGGCGGAGCCCCGCCCCGGTGCTTGTCCCGCCCCTGTCCCGGCGTGCCCTGTGGGCCGTGATGGCGGAGGGCAGCGGTGGCAGCGGTGGCAGCGGGCGGGGGCCGCCGTGCCCTGGGGCGGCCTCGGCGTTCCGGCGTTGGGAGCAGCTGCGGCGGCGGGCTGCGACGCCCTGGGCCCGCGGGCTCCTGGCCGTGGTCGCCGGGCTCGGGCTCCTGTACGCGGTGCTGCGGGTGCCGGTGCGGCTCCGGGACGGCCTGGCGGCCGGTGAGGGCAGCAGGGGCGGATGGCGCGCTGGGTGGACCCTTCATGTGGAGCCGGGCGTGCGGGCAGGGCAGGCTCGGCTCGGACCCGTCCCCCCGAGCATCCTGGGCTGTATCGGGAGGAGTGCATCCAGCGGGACCGGGGCAGGGATTGTTCCTCTGTGCTTGGCGAGCGGCTCTGCAGGTGCTGTGGCCGGGTCCGGGACCTTCCATTCAGGAGGAACGTTGAGAGGCTGGAGTGTGTCCAGAGCAGGAAATGGATCTGTGGAAGGTCTGGAGCCCCAGGAGCAGCTGAGGGAGCTGGGAAAGGGGCTCAGCCTGCAGAAAAGGAGGCTCAGGGGGACCCTTCTTGCTCTTTACAACTCCCTGACAGGAAGGGACAGCCAGGGGGGATTAGGCTCTGCTCCCAGGATAAGATAGTGACCTCCACCTGTGTCAGGGAAAGTTCAGGTCGGACATCAGGAGGAATTTCTTCATGAGAAGGATGTCAGACATTGGAATGGGCTGCCCAGAGAAGTGGTGGAGTCCCCACCCCTCGTGGTACCCAGGGAACAGCTGGACCTGGCTCTCAGTGCTCTGGTCTTGTTGACGAGGTGGGGATTGGTCACAGGCTGGACTTGAGAAGGTCTTTTCCAAACGAATGATTATTCCGATTCTGTGAGTCTGTCCCTGCGGTGCCTTCGGGCTGGTCATGCATCCCAGCTTCGCTCGGTGACACACTGAGCTCACTGTCACCTAACTCCAGGGTTAGGGACACGGCTGAGGACTGGGCAGCCAAAAGCAGCCAAGGCACTGCTATGTGCTCCCCCCTGGGTCTGTCAGCTGCAGCCCTGCCCTGGCCCTTTCCAGCTGCTGCCAGGTGACAAGGCTGATGTGTTGTCTTGATATCAGGACGGAGAGGTCTGTGGAAAATGTATGTTAACACTGAATTTAAATTTGCATCAAAACAGATGTCTTAAAGTGAAGTAATACATTAAATTGGCGTGTTGTGGTCCACCAGCAACATGGGTGAAACCATAAAGACTCTTTGTCTAGAAATGTACAGTGATTTTTTTTTTTTTTTTGGCTGGATATAGAAATTGTCGCAGGTAGATACAAACAAAATAATAAGTGGTGAGGATTCCCGTAGCAGTGTAGCATTATAAAGCTACTAGGGCTATAGTATACTATATATTTGCATGATATTGGGCATTTTTTAATAGACAAGCTGTTTTTGTTTTTCAGTTCTACTTATTAAGTCTTTGGTTTTGTTTCTCTTAACAGTGACTGTGTTCTTAAGCACTTTGACTCCAAAATTCTACTTTGCCCTTACAGTAACTTCATCTTTTATATCTGGACTGATATTTGTAAGTAGTCCACTTCTTTTTTTCAAACAACTTTAGCATGTCCCAGATGACTTTATGAGGGGTAAAGAGAATGAATATCAGACTCTAGAGGGTGCCTTTGTGCTGGGAAGGAACTTCTCTGATGTATCGTTGCAACCTTTTTGCTGTGTGTGTATTGTATATTGGGACTGATGAGTCTGAGAAAATAACTGGTGCAGAGTGCCAGAATGGTTTAGCTCCACTGACACAGCTTCAGCTGCTCCTGTCACTGGTCACCAGAGAGAGGAGTGCAGTACCTGATCCAGGCACGGGATCCAAACTGGTCCAGGGCTGACAGTTTGGTGTAGTCCTTGAGGGCTTATGATATGCAGGTATTTTTTTAATTGCTTCAGGAAGAGATGGTAATATTTTTGGCCCAAAATTTCTGCTGAGTGACTGTCATTGCTGTTAACTTAGCCATATCTCTTTGTTAGCCTCTCTCTTTCTGGTTAGAATTTCTGTTTAATGGGCCATTTTATCCTTTATTCTTCTAGATTATTTTTATGAAATGAAACACACCTGTGTTAAATACTACTAATTTGGTACTACAGGTTGGGCTACAGCTTGAAGTATTCTCTCCAGTAAAAGAGGATATCATGGTTTTTTTTGCCTCTGTTTCCAGTTTCCCTATCCAGGCACTTCTAAAAGGGTTTATGAGTTACCCTAATGACCTGAGGAGGGAGGAATGTAACATTTGACTAAAATTTTGATGTTTTTTTCCCAATCTCTTTCATGTTCTGAGCAATCCTGCATGACAAGACAGGCCAAACCAGGTCATTAGTGTTACTCTGTATGGAGATAAGTTCCATCCCTGATCATTTGCAAGGGGCTATACTTGCTGTGAACACTCTTCATCCCTCGTGTTTGCTGGGAGGGTGTCATCTAAGGAAATTCCTGGTGCTTTTTTCTCCTGTGACAGGTGTTTGAGTGGTGGCACTTCCGAAAATATGGCACATCTTTCATTGAGCAGGTTTCTGTGAGCCATTTGAGGCCCCTCATTGGGGGTGCAGAGAACAGCCCCCCAGCCCCAGCAGCTTTCTCAGCGGGGGAGAATGAGACCAGCAGGCAGAACATGCCAGGTGATTCCTGAAGTGTCCCAGGAGCTTTCCTTAAGCTTCGAGGTGGCTTTTAATGGCTTTGGCTGTGCATTAGTGCTTGTAAAAACTGGACAAAATCTACATCTTAGAGTGTTTTGTCAGTATTAATAAAAATATACTAAATAATAATGTTTTTTTACTCTAAACCATTCATTGTTAAAAATATGATTTAGAAAATATTATACATTTAGCTAAAACTGTTTCAGTAACATTAGTTATTTACTGTTCTAAATATGTGCAAGGTAAATATTGCTTGAGTATACATGCATTGCTTAATCTTCCCTCCCTGTGCTTTTGTGCCCCAGCAATTTTGGAGAGCAAAAATGGAATATTATATTTATGGAATAGCAGAAGTTTATGAAGATGATGATTGCATAATAATAAAATTAAAGCAGTTTTTCAAAGAACAACTGCTTTTGCATTACAAGATAATATTTCCCGTGCTTTTAATTTAAAAAGTACTTTTTTTTATTCCTCAGAGTGCAAAGTGTGGCGAAATCCTCTCAATCTTTTCAGAGGGGCAGAGTATAGCAGGTATTAATTATCTTGCTTTCCACTGCTTATTTTTAAATTTAATCGGGGGCATGCACATGACTTCCTCACTGAGCTTGCACTGGTAATGTCAGGAGACAGCTGCAGACCTGCAAGATTATAGGGGTGATTGATACCAATTCTGTGTTTAAAAGGCACCAAGCCAAGCTTTGGCAGTTTCAGTGTTAAGAACAAAAGTATTACTGTAGCATTTTTTTTTTAGAGTAATGTAGGAAAAAATCTTTTTTCAGAGGTTGAGACAGTGATTCTCAATCTAAATTCTCTTTTATTAAGCTATATTTTAAGTCTCCTAGTGTTACTTCATGGGAAAAGCTGCTTTCTAGGAAGCCAGTTCCCAAACTGTTTACAACTTTACAGATTTCTGAACAATAGTACTTGAAACTTCGTGTTAGTAGGTTTAGTCTTTTATTATAGATTTTCTGCACTAGGCACATCAGCTATCCCTGTGGTATCAGCATTGCTAATTACTAGGAATGCCTCTTACTGAAATTTCTGCTGTTTTAGGTACATGTGGGTGACTGGGAAGGAGCCTCTTACTTACTATGACATGAATTTGTCTGCTCAAGATCATCAAACCTTTTTCACATGTGACACGGATGCCCTTCGGCCTTCTGACACAGGTAGTGATGTCTGTGTAAGGTGTGTAAGTGTTGGACAGTGTCAAGTGTGTGTTTTTAGTGAACTCCAAAGTAGTGCAAGTTACTGTGTCAAATATTTAGTATAGCATTTCTCAGGTTCTAAAGAGGTTTAATAGATGTAGAGGATCAGAGAGTAGTTTGGGTTGGGAGGGACCTTCAAGCTAATCCTGTTACACCCCCTGCCGTGGGCAAGGACACCTTCCACTAAACCAGGCTGCTCCAAGCCCCCTCTAACATGGCCTTGAAATTTAGTGTTTAGTGAAATTTAGTGGAAAGATGTTGTTTTATGTTGTGCACTCTCTACTACTTAAGTGCTGTCAGGGTCCTGACTTTTTAAAGATCTCACACATTTCAAATAATTAACACAATATTGCAAACCTGGATTATATTCTCAGCAGCCAAAATGTGGTCTTATTTAAACCTTAGTAATGAATGCAGTAATGAGTGCAGTCTCCAGATTTTTTTCCTTGTGCTCCACATTTAGTGCAGAAAATGTTCTTTACCTGGTTATTGTCAGTGTGGGTGTGAATTATTGTCAATTTGTCACATTCCGGAGGTGTTCCTTGTCAG